CTGCGGCCCCCCCTCTTCGCGGCTAGGGCAAACCCCCCCCAAACGTGAGAGAGTCACCCAAGCCGCCTACAACGGGGGCACCCACCCTCAGAACTTCCGTCTTGTCCGGGTCCAGCCTCAGCCCGTTCTCCTGCATCTATTGCAGTGTGGCCCCCAGGCAGTGCTGAAGGGACAGGACGGCATCACCTGCAGTTGGTGAAAAGGAGATGTACAGTGGGGTCTTGACTTGAGAACTTAATCCGTATTGGAAGGCGGTTCTCAAGTCAAAAAGTCTGTAGGTCAAGTCTCCATTGACCTACAGTGCATTGAAAACCGATTAATCCCATAACAGGCCGTTTTTGTTCCATTTTGGTTTTTTTCTGGTCTGTAAGTCAAATCTCAGTCTGCAAGTCAAACCTAAATTTTGCAGCCAGAGAAGTCTGTAACTCAAAAAGTCTGTAAGTCAAGCCGTCTGTAAGTCAAGGGTCCACTGTAGAGCTGAGTGTCATCCTCATACTGATGACACGAAGCTCCACACCCCCTGATGACCCCACCCAGCGGGGTCATACAGATGTTAAACAGCATTGGGGAGATGATCGACCCCTGTGGAACCCCACAGTTGAGACTCCACGGGGCCGAGACACTCTCCCCAAGCTGTACTCTCTGGGGATAGTCCTCCAAGAAGGAACGGAGCCAGGAGAGTGCCGAGCCACCAATTCCCAACTCTGAGAGCCTCCCCAGGAGGATACCATGGTCGACGGTATCAAACGCCGCCGAAATGTCAAGGAGGACCAACAAAGATATTTTACCGCTGTCGGCCTCCCTCAACAGGTCATCGTACAGGGCGACCAGTGCCGTCTCTGTACCATGGCGCGGCCTGAAGCCCGACTGAAATGGATCCATGGCATCTGTTTCATCCAAATGGTTTTGATGTTCAACTTGTTCAGTGAGAGAAATCCAGTCTGTCTTGGGCTTGAACAAGTGCTTGAACACTGGACTGGAGTAATGACCGGCGAACCGGACAGGAGCGGCTCGCAGGCCGTATGTGGCCCTCGGGTCACACTTTGCTCAGGTCTGCATTAGGCTAATATGCAGAAAAGCATAACTTCAGGATTTTGAATTGGTTCAGTATTACTGACCAAAACGGGGTAGTGGAATATGTTTTTGTGGTTGGCCTTTGAAAGATTTGTGGTTTTTATTATATGTTCATATTTGGGGTTTTAAAATATAGTTACTCCAGTAAATATGAGCTAAAGTTGCAGCAGCAATTAAAAGCCCTGTGTATTATGCTTTTTCAGGCAGAGCTGTGTGGCACTTTCTGCTATAATACATGCCTTGCTACTAGAATTGCAGGTATGGGAATGGCTAGTTCTGGGCTTGCAGAAAGCCCTTTTGGGATACTGTTGGTACTGTTGCCCTTGCTATTGTTGAAGTAACCCAGTTGTTATGATGTTGCTGAGGCAAAACCTAAGCAGTTGTATGATTTTGTTGTTGTTTAGTCCTTAAGTCGTGTCCAAATCTTCGTGACCCCGTGGACCACAGCACGTCAGGCCCTCCTGTCTTCCACTGCCTTCCGTTGTATGATAGCATCAGGCAAATCAGTTTTAGAACACCAGGTATCATTTAGTGATCTGTTGTTACAGTATTGCAGTTAGATAATAATACAAAAAGTGGCTTATATGCAGTCTAAGGGACCTTTAATATTGAATATGTTCTTGGTATTACAATCAGTCAATCAGTAAAATGTCCCTAAGCAGATTTTTGTTGTTGTTGACAGTCTCAATCTTCATAGTTTTTTTAAAATGGCCTGGCCTTACCTCTTTTTGTGTAGGCTTGAAATCTCCAGATGAATCTTTGGCTTATTCCCCACCAAAAGATGCCTCTGAAAATGACCCACGGATAATACACAGGCAAAGAAGTTCTGATTATCCATCTGCATATTCCTCATTTTCAGACTTGCACAAGGGAGGAACAGAAGACAGAGAATTTGCAGGTCAAGAACTGAAATATAATGATCAGTGTGAACTTGAGATAAATCAGTGTGTGACAAGTGAACCCACCATAAATCGAGTAATAGAGACAGCTATATTAGAAGAATACACTCATTTTACCAATAAAATTCAGGAGATTTTGCTGCAAAAGAATATTATGTATGCAAGAAAAATATCCAGACCTGTTATATCAGCCCGGGAAAGGGTCATGAGACTTTCTGAATATCTGTGCTTACAGGCATCAGGTATTGCTGTCCAGGAATATGTGGAAAGACTGAGTGAAAAGCTCCACAGTGTTGTGTTGTCATCCACCCATGCTGTTCATAAGGTTCCATTTACTTGCACATCAGAACAAGCAGCTGATTCAGTTACGGATACTGAATTGAATCCATACTCAGAAGAACTTGTACCTCTTGCCAGTGATATTGATGTGGAATCATTTCAAGAGCCACCACCATGTAACAATGTAAAGGGAGATTCAAACAATGAAAAGAATGGATTGACAGACACTGGGAAACAACAAAGTTCTGTGAGAGGCAGCACAGAGACAAAGCTGATAGCAGAATCAAACATTTCTACAGTGGACCCTCCACTACAGCAAGATAAAGCTCCCAAGCCTGTAGATGATGCAAATGCTACAACCCAGACAGCTGTAGTTGACCTTATAAACCAACTAAAACCTGAAATGTTTGATAGCTTCATCAAAATCATAGAAGATGTGCGAAAAAACACTGTAAAATTCTATATTCATGAAGAACAAGAGAGTGCACTTTGCAAAGAAATAAAGGTACACTTTTTTCTTGTATGAGGCCTGTGTATCCGTTATGGTTCCTTACCTGTTCATTTCAGGAAATACATTCTTGCTCTGCTGATATAAATTAAAGTCAGTTTAAGCATGATACTAAGGCAGCAATTACTGCCATGAGTTGTTGGCACTAGGCCATTGCATCTTTTGCATTTTATAGTTTAATTCTATTACTTTTGTAAATTATCCTTTCAGTGTAATTGAAGTACAGTGTGAAAATGTTCCTTGAGGAGATAACTGCTGTGTGGACAAAGTAGGCATTGTTATAAACAGAAAAACAAGAAACACTTTATCATGCCATTAAAAGCATTTTCTTCTTCACATATAGATTTATTAAGGCATGCTAAGATGGAATTTTGAGTTAGTATGCCATACATAGCTTTCTACAAAGGTGGAAGAGTGCTGGTTGATTAACCTCATGATGTTGCAGAAGAATGGTGTAATTAAAATGTACAACCTGCCAACAATACTAAATAATCATATCTATTTGATGTAAACTATGCTGTTTTAATAGGTGATTTTGGCCTGAATCCAATTGATAGAACTGACTAGAGTAGATTATTGCATTGGTGAGATTTACAGAAGGATTGACCAACTGTATGATTCAATTGGTAAATGCACAGTTGATTCACTGGGTCTTGTCTAGCTGGGATTACCAAGTGGAGTTAAATCCTTGCAGATTTATGTTCTAAGTTTATTGATAACTGAATATATTGCTCATTCAGATTTTTTAATGAATTGTGTTGGTTTGACATTTTATGTATTTGGTTTAGGAATATCTTATTCAGCTGGGTAATTCAGAGTGCCATCCTGAACAGTTCTTGCGAGGAAGAGCTAATAGGGATAAATTGCTTATTATTATTCAAAATGAAGATATTGCGAGTCTTATTCATAAGGTATGTGAAAGTCATAACAACCACTTGAAAACATCAAAGGTGGCTTTGATAATTTGTTGTATTCATGAGCTTATTTCCTGTGAAGTGCTTGCTTATTGGCATTTATATACTTTGAAAGAGTTCACATCACCTGCTGAATTGCATCCTAGAGTATTGAAGGAACTGATTAAAGATCAGAACCACTGTCTATTAATTTCTTAAAATCATCGAGGATGGGTGGAGTACCAGATGATTGGAGGAAGGCTGACATTGTCCTTATCTTTGAAAAGGGCAAAAAGTAGGAACCTGGGAACTACAGTCCAGTCAGCCTGACATTAATCCCAGGAAAAATTCTAGAGCAGAGTAAAAGGAGAGCACTCTGCAAGCACCTTGAAGATAATGCAGTAATAACTTGGAGGCCAGCATGGATTTGTAAAAAACAAATCCTGCCAAAGTAATCTTATTTCATTTTTTGATCGAGTAACCTCTTTGACAGAAGTGGGAATACTTAGACATAAGATATCTTGACTTCAGCAAAGCTTTTGACAAAGTGCCCCATTACATTCTGATTAGAAAGTTAACTAGGTATGGACTGGATGGGGGATAGCTGTCAGATGGATACATAGTTGGTTACAGAATCATATCCGAAGAGTGTTTTGATGACTCCTTCTGACTGAGAACATGTAGCAAGTGGGGCACCATAGGGCTCAGTTGTGGATTTGGTGCTCTTCAACATTTTTATTAATGATTTGGATAAGGGGATAGAGAAAATTATTATCAGATTTGCGGATGACACAAAATTGGGTGGAACTAATTCCTTGGAAGACAGAAACAAAATTTCAAAAGTCCTTGATAGGCTTGAGTATGGAGCCAAAACAACACATTTGATGGATAAGTTCAACACCCAGGGGAAAAAAACAGGTGCACAGTTACAAGATGGGAGATATTTGGCTCAGTAATACAATGAGTGAAAAGAATCTTGGAATTGTAGATCAAAAGCTGAATATGAGCCAACAATGCAGTGTGGCTGCAAATAAGGCAAATGTTATTTTGGGATGCATTATAATCTCCAGATCCTATGAAGTACTAATTGTCTTTTAGGCACTGGTTAGGCCTCATCTTGAGTACTGTGTCCTATTCTGGATGCTGCACTTCAAGAAGGATGCAGACAAACTAGAACAAGTTCAAAGGAGGGCAGCAAAGATGATTAGGGGACTGGAAACCAAGACATAGGAAGAAAGACTGAAAGAACTTGACATGTTTAGCCTTGAGAAAAGAAGACTGAGGGGAGATATGATAGCACTCTTCAAATTCTTGAAAGGTTGCCATACAGAGGAAAATCAGGATCTGTTCTTGATCATCCCAGAGTGCTGTACACATAGTAATGGGATCAAGCCACAGGGGGCCAGATTTAAGCTAAATACCAAGAAAAACATCCTGTTAGAGCAGTATGACAATGGAACCAGTTGCTTTGGGAGGCGGTGAGTGCTCCAACACTGGAGGCATTCAAGAGGACCAACATTGGATAACTATCATATTTGCTTTGATTTGGATTCCTGCATTCCTTATAGGCCCCTTCCAACTCTCTTGATTCTATGTTATGTAATTTATTATGTATAATCTCAGAATTGCAGAAAACAACTTGTAGTGTCCCTTACTTTCATTGTACTGTTATGTTAATTGTAGTCATATACTTTATTTAAATAGATACCGTGCTTGGTAACTTTGAAGAGGCTCTCGTGTGTCAGTTTTGCTGGTGTTGACAGCTTGGATGATGTGAAAACTCGTACTTACAATGAATTATTTGTTTCTGGTGGTTTCATTGTCTCTGATGAATCTGTTCTCAATCCAGAGTCCGTCACAGTTGGTAAGATGTATATATTTTAGTAAAGCCAAGGGCAGAAAAATGTTTCAGGTCTAATATACCCGCATGATTCCTAGGTGCCCAGATAGCTAAGCATCAGTTTTTAACTGTTGTTACATTTTATTTGTTTTGTTAATCTACACTGATTTTGTTGTAAAATCTTGCTGTAAATTTTTATTGTAGAGTATAAGGTTGGTTACATCAGCAGAGAAAACTGGCTGTGGAAACATTCCTCAGCTGCATGTAGAAGCAGGTATATAATGCATCACATTTAATATTTTATAAAGTGATACTAGGTGCAGTCCTTTTATTTTAGCATAGTAAATTTCAATTAGAGTAGGCCCATTGGATTAGGGGAACATATGGAAGAATTGACTCATTAAATCCACTGATTCAGTGGGCTTGCTTTAGTTGCAACTTTCTACACTAATTAACTGAATGTTAGCTGCAGAGTTTTTTCTCCCTGTTATGCAGTCATGCAAATAGAAGTTGCTTATATAATACTTAATTTATTCTACTCATTTATTTCATTTCTATCCTGCCTACCTTTTAATCCAAGAACCCACAGCTTATTAAATGGGAAGACATAAGAAAGACACAGACAGAAATACAGATGAGCCCTGAAACAACTTGAAAACATTAGAAACAAAAAACACAGGCATGAGAAGGGTTTGGGAAGAAAGAAAAACACAACACTCTATTAAAATACAGTTGAAAAAAGTTTGTCTCGCAAGAAGGATGTTTGCCTGTCTGTCATTGGACAAAGAGAGGCCGAACACCCAGAGAGTTCCACAGTTTGGGAGCAACCATTGAAAAAGTCTCAAGTCCTTTTCAGGCGTGCCTGTCAGGATGATGGTAGTAAAGAGAGGACTGTCCCTTAAGATAGCTCAGCGACTTAGAGTTTGGGAGTTCAATTCCCCACTGCGCCTCTTTGAGAGAGGCTAGACTCGATGACCGGTTCAAAAATTGTTGTTGTTGTTGTTAAGATCCTAAAAATTGGGGAGATATGGCCCTTCAATCAGCTTTGACTGAAGCCACTTTATATCCCAACTGTTGTCTTAAAAAATCACCAATCTTCAAAGTGGCTGTTCAGTCACTACTCTTTTTCTTGGCTAGCATTAAGTTCTAGCAGAGATTTTCAGACCATTACTGGGAGACTAGGAACATGCTAAAGGATGGCTTTTCTATATTGCTTTCCTTCTGTGGCTTGCTCTAACTATGGCTAATGTTGTTAAGCCTGTATCTGTGCTAATTCTGGATAATAGTAACAGGAGTTCCACATACACAGGTGGAATTATGCCACATCCTGATTACTTTTAGCCATTGCTAGCTTCATGCCAGTATAACACCACCTTAGAAGACATAATTACCAAAGCAAGTAGGAAAAAACTCATCACAGTGATAATGTTTTGGGTTGCATACTGTCTGCATCTGAAAAACTTCTGTCCAATAAGAATGCTGACAAAAGTTAAGCTCTGGCACAGCTGAAATCAGAAGGATGCAATGGAAAGAAAAATAGGTTTAGATTTATTTGACTTCTAAAGTGCAAGAGGAGTGTGGCTGGCTCTTTTAAAATGTCATTTAGTGCAACGTCCTTCATTCTCTTAGTGGCCAACCAGATCCATCTAAGATACTCACAGGCATGCTTTAAGTAAGTCTTCTTTCCCAGCTTTTGCTCCCCAAGAGATGGCATTTAGTAGAACTGCCTGCAGACTTGACTGTACCTAATCACGAAAGCTAGCAGCCACTGATTTTGAGATTCCCATTGATGCCATCTAAGCTACCTGCTATCACCATGTGTTGCTTTCTCTTTTCCAAACCAGACAAACTTAGCACTTTTCTGAAGTTTCTTGAAGAGTTGAGTACTCCAGATGGAAAGTGGCAATGGAAGGTTCACTGTAAAATACAGAAAAAATTGAAGGAACTTGGGAGGTGTGTATTTCTTGTTTATTGAAGTGTTAGACACATTTTGGAATTATGGAACAATGGAATTCTTGCAGTAGTGCTGCTGAAGTATTTGTGAGGTGGCATTTATTTGCTTTGTACAGAAGCTTCATGTTCTCACTTTTATGAGAGAAATCTTTCATTTTCCTAGTCCACTTGTTTCTTTCTGAATTTCACCTGTGGCTGAAACATTTTTCCGAACATAATTATTCTTTTCATGTCAATGACAAATCTCACTTTTTTTAACCTGCTAGTAGTACTCAGGATTTTATGTTCATAGAAGATCTCTGACATCATTGTTAAAGATTCCCTAACTACTTTATCTGCTTACAGCCAGAACATTTCTGTTTTTCCTAACAATTAAGAAAATGTACTTTGAACATTTTATTTAATATCCCTGTATTGTGGTAAATGCAGATATAATGCATGCTTTTAAACAAAGTTAGTTTCTTCTCTTTCCCTCCCCAGAACAAATGTGAATGCCGTAAACTTACTGACACTTCTGAGTGCCTATCAAAAGAAACATGTGGTTGAGATTCTGTCATACCACAGCTGTGATTCTCAGACACGAAATCCTCCAGAATTAGATTGCCTCATAAAACTTCAAGCTCAGAATATACAGCAGAGGCACATTGTATTCCTGACAGGTAGAAAATCGTTACTGCATATCTCATTAAAGCACACGCACACACATGTGCACATGTATATTTGGCATAAACTGAAATATTTTCTTGGTCTCTTTTCATAGAAAAGAATGTGTCAGCATTTGCAGCTTATGCTAGTAATGGAATAGTAGTTACTACAATGGATTTCTTCATGCACAGCTTCAAAAGTCTTGTTGGCTATCATTACTCAATTACTGGAGAAAACTATAGCCCTTCCCCTATTGATCATGAAAGACAATCAGGTAATGATATGTTTCATTAATTTTGCTCACATATAGATAGCTAGAAATGAGGGGGAGGGAAGAATCTTAATATGTTTGCTTTTTATAACTGAAGAGTCACTATGTCCAAGTTGCAGATCACAGTGTAAGGCTTAAAAGACTATAATGCTGTGTGGAATCTTAAATATGCAGTTAGTCTAAAGATTCATCTGGGAAATTCCTATGAGAGGTAGAGGATTATGACACAGCTAGTGAAGGTGAGATTTAAAAAACTAACAGCGGGTGAGAATGTCAGTAATTGTGTTAGTTAACTTACTTATCAAATACTGACCTACTGTATAACTTTAGATGCTGTTTTGACATTAAATCCTTTGGAGCTGGAAGTTGGGGTTTCCCAACAGTAAGCATGAACACATATCGCAGAAGCTTTTAGCATCGGAATGTCCGGACGGTCACACAGAGGGTTAAATGTGTGTTGAGTAAGTGAACAAATATGAGAGAAGACCCAACGGTTAAATGATATGCGACTTTCAGAAGTGAAGCCTAACACTGTGTGAGTAGAGCGTAGTATTTTTATACAAGATTTTTATTTCAATAGAGTAGGATTTTTCTCTTCTTAATGTAGTTCTTGTAGAAAACGAAAAGGATGAGGAGGACATGTCTTTGGATTCAGGTGATGAAGCATCACAAATAGAAGTTTGCAATGATGCCTCAAAGTATGATTCTCACTTGGAAGCTTTTGAAACAAAGACCAAAGGATCACATGGAACAGATACTGAGCAAAATTCACACACTGATGCACTGTTGTCTACCGAAGGAGGAAGCTGCCTTCTGACAGGCAGGACAGCTAAAACTGATATGCAGGATATACAACCTGTTACTCCTGTCTCAGTAACATGCTCTGTGGAAGGAGAGATAACTAACTCAGTCGAACAGATCCCTCTCAGTAACTTCCAGATTTACAATAGGCAGTTAAGTGTGCCCCACCAGTTCAGTCATTTTAATGTTCTCACTCACCAGACATTTCTGGGAACGACATACCCCATGTCTACAAGTCAGATCCAAGAAGGTGGAAACTACTTTCTCTCTGCCTACAGCCAGAACATGGATATGGACCAGTCTTCAACTCCCAGTAGTTGGGATGTCAGTTGTAATTCTTCCAGACCATTTTCCAAACAGAATTAAGCAAAATTGAAACTTTTTTTTAATAATTTGTTGTGGACTTTTCTGTTAAAAAAAGTGAACTAACTGTTTATATTCTTATCTAAATATTTCTTGTCTCTTATCTCAAATGTTCTCTTATCTTATTTAAATCATGAATGGTCTGTACCAGGTGAAGCACCTGAAGTTTGAAATAAATATATATTTTTAAACATTTAATGTACTTGAATTGAACTTGATTGTTGCCACTTTTTTATATTTTGTAGTTTATCTGTAATTGAGACTTCCAACCAGAGGTCTGTCTAATTGTAAATTGAATGTTTATCTGAAGCATATGTGAAAGGAGTGTCATTTTTAAAGCAAAGTGTAACAGGATAGTCAAAATGCTTTTTCTTTATCAAAGCTGTTATGTTCGTATGTGAATTTTTTGTAAACCATCGTAAAATAGTTATAAAGGCAGTTCTACATACTTTAACAGATATTCTGGATTTTTGGCTATGTCCTTCAGTTAAACTAAAAATGGATCCAATTTGTTTGGTAACAACCCCCCCCCCCCAAAGAAACCCCTATCTAGTTGGGACCTAGCAGTGAGTTGCATTTTATCATACTATCTATTTTCTGGAAAGGGATACATCAGAACCCTTCCCCCCCTTTCTCATTATAATTCAGATGAATATTTTAAAGCTAGTTGTGTAGTAAGCAGAAACATGACAATAATGTACTAATATAATTTAAGAATGTTTGTAAGCACACTGCTCAAATTAGTGTTGTGGTTTAGGTGCAGACAAGTACTCAGCAACTGTTCTAACATAATACGTAGTGAGCCAGCCCCTCTAGCAGATAGGGGGGGAATGCATGTTTCCCCAATATATTGTTGCTGCTTCCTTTATCCCACAATTTTGGCTATGCTGATGGGAGTTGCAGTTCAATTTCTAGAGAACTCAGTCCTTGATATGTTGAGGCTTCACTGAATCAGTAATCTTAAGGATATCAGTCAAAAACTTCATGCATTATTAAGTATAGACTTTCATTTGCTACAATATTCTGTGCCACTCAGAAATAAATATCTGAACTAATGCAAGCTATCTCTTTACTTACTAAAGTGATGGAGTAGAAGTTGAGAACTGGAACATTTTTTATTTGAGCATGTTGAAAAAAACCTTTAAAAAAGGAAATAGAGCGGACCGTGGTAATGGCTGTTTTGATTCGAACACAAACTTACAATAAGTAAATAATGTGGACTGAGAAGTATCTTGTCACTAAAGAAATGGATAAATGCTAATAAGAAAATGAGGGAAATAGAAAAGAATGTATTGCTAACTTCCTATTGAAATGCAAAATGATGCGGTCGATGGTATCGTGTCTATAGTATGTTGTCCCTAGATTGTAACTTTAACATTTTGCTGCAGAAATGGCACAGTGAGCCAGAGGATGAATGGCAGGAGTGGAAAATGTATCACCCTATGGACATTTCTGAATTACAGCTTCCACATTTTCTCATTGTTGGCCATGCAGTCTGACGTTGATGTGAATTGCAATCTAACATTATCTGGGGGAATTGCAGATTCTCAAAACTGGGGAACAGGTTAAAGAGCAGGGATGCACCACATGACATATACTTCTGAGGAATAAAAGGAACAAAAATTGAATACAGTGGTGCCTCGCTTAGCGATCGCTCCATTGAGCAACGAAATTGCTTTGCGATGCTGTTTTTGCGATCGCTTTGCAATGTTTCCTATGGGGAAAATTCGCTTTGCGATGATCGCGGGGAAGCAATCATTGCAAAGTCCCCATTTCCGGCCAGCTGATTGGTGGTTCCAAAATGGCCGCCAGGAAAAAAATGACCGCCCGCTGTTTTGCCTCGCTTTAGAGGAACTGAAAATGGCTGCTGCAATGGAGGATTTTCGCATACGGTTAGTTTTTAAGCCCATAGGAATGCATTAAACACGTTTTAATGCATTTCTATGGGCTTTTAAAAATCGCTTAGCGATATTATCGCTTAGCAGCAATTTTTGCTGCACGGATTAATATCGCTAAGCGAGGCACCACTGTACATGTATTCATAAAGAGGAGTGTATGTTCAAGTGTTACTTATATTATATTATAGAGATTAGCGTGTAAACAGCCAGATATCTAGTCACTTACTACCAATAGAAATCTTCAAACAATCAGGTGGGAAAGTATGCAAACAAGATACAATAGCGATTAGAGTGCTGGGCAAGGATGGATGAGACGTAGCTAAAATCCATCTTGAATTTAGCATAAGGATTTTATGGCTCAAACCCATAGACTTTTGGCTGGGAGAATTCCTGGTGAATTCTGGTGGATGAAGTCCCAGGAAATCCAAAAGTCTCATGGATGTCCAGAACCATGCAACTGCCTATGTGTCCTTAATACCTGTCACTCTTCAGTGAAACTTTTCCTCTAGGATTATTGCAAAAGATAAAAATAGGAGGCAGGTGGAGAACTGTGTATGTTGCCATGACCTCTTTTGATCCATAGGTTAGGTTAAACATGTTGATTCTGACTTCATGGAATCCCCAGTATACTTTTTGAGGCATGTGAGATATTTGTGGTTTTGCCAGTCATCTCCCAGAGAGTTTCGAAGATTCATTGGGGGTTTGAACCTAGTCTCCTGAGTCACATACTGACATTGTATACTACAGTGGCTGTAGGAAATGTTACAGGTTAGGAGTTAGGATTTGCTTGTCGAATTAAACAAAATGCTTTAACTTGAAATTTCAAGTGTCAAAAAGCGAAGGCCTGAAAGAAAGCCTTTACATTTTGTGTAACAAAAGGTCAAACCAGGACAAATTCCAAGTTTGAGAGGATCCCAGGCAAAAGCAACCAGTGCCATGTGTTTTTGTATAGCTACATATTTATGTGCCCATAATGCCCACAACATTATGTAGCTCTGGAGTATTCTAGGAAGATAAAATGATTCCATATCCAGACAACCAAAGTTGATGAGAGCAGCCATTGTGTTGCAGGAATGTTACTGATGTCCTTTCCCTTTGCTACCCAAGTTGTTTCACTGACAGAAAGTTTGATGTTAATTTTTCTGTATTTAGCCAGTAGCACAGCACAATGGTAAGATCAGCTAGACGAGCAGATTTTTTTTCTGAGAAAGGAATGTATAAATTATATTCTAGTACTGTAGAAATTACAAGTTGCCATTTTAAGTATGCATAGTAAGAACAAATAGTTTTTCATGTTGCAAGTGATGGTCTATTAGTTGTAATTAATTTGGAATACTTTTAGCTCTATTCAGGTGTTGTAGATGTTGACTTTATGAATACATGTTGAGACAACCACCTAGATCCGTCCACCTCATACCATTTTATCAAGTTGAAGGGCACTAGTACCTGCTAATGTGAACAAGAACCGTAGAAAATCAGGGTTCTTGTCCATGTGTACAGAGTTTACACAAAAAGGGGTTTTCTCCCTCAGACGGGCAGTTTAAAGTTAATAGAACATGACAACTAAGGGCTGCAGGACTAGGCAGTCCCATCTAAGTCTCATAGAATCAGCATTTTCTGTGTATGGATAAGGCTTGTCGAAACAATTTAGTCCATAGACTTAAGTTGATTCAGTTCCATTGGAACGCATGAGTCAATGGATTAGTTTGAATGCTATTCTAGAAATCTAGTTTCAGCTCCATAACAGTCTGTGTCAAAGAAGTAATAGTAATCTAAATTATCATTAGTTTTTTGGGTATGACTTAAAATGGAGAATCCTTACTTGATCAGGTTCTGCACCTGCATCATTGTGTACTTTTGTCTGATGTTTCTGCTGGGTGATATCCAGTTAAAAATAGTAGATAGAATAAGGAGAATGTTAACCTAGATTTTGCCACTTGAGACCACCAAGGATTATATATGATAAATGTATCAGGGAGATGTCTCACCAAAGGACATCTTGGTGGACAAACCATGGAGTGGTAGTGGTTTACGCAGATGAATCATGAGCTCTTCTGCAAAGGGAGAACAGAATAAGTAGAAGCAGAATACACATGGTGCTACGTATTCCTGTAAAAAAGCTACAGTTGGATGAATACCGATGTGCACTTTTCTTCCTAAATTGTATAATTTTACTGACAAGTGGGAGGGAAAGTGTCTTATGGTCATGGATGCCCACTGATTAAAGAAAATCAAAATAATCCTAACAATCTAAATGAATATAGCTATTATGTTACTGTCATGTTCAGCATAACAGAGGCATTATAGTTGTACCTCTTTAAATTGAGATGAAGGATCTATTCTAGTTGAGAGATGCCATTCTGGACAACAACTGTCTAGCATCTTCTGGGAGGGCTATGGCTTTAAAAAGTGCTAATTGTGTTATGAATTGATTTAATAAACAGGATTTCTTTCATCTTGTTGTGTCAACCATGTTCCATATGTGCTAAGTGGCACATTCTTTTTACACACAGATTATTTCTGCACTGATATATAGTGCATTTTAATCTCTTCTCAAGAAGAGTACACATTAAACATGTATGTTGGAAAGGGGTGCATAGTATCCCCAGTTAGCTGCAAAAAGAAAGTAAGAAACGAAACCCCGAAAATTTGAAGAATGTGTTGTTCTTCAGTTATATTACAGATGTCTTATAGGTATTTACAATACTTGCAAAATTATTATAGTAATGCATTTTGGAGAGAGAAGCCATGTTACTAGTCAGTGCTCCATCTGGAAGAAGTGTACAAACTCCATTACTGGAATTGGTTTTCAAAAAAGAAAAACTTGATGCAATTGGAACAGAAAAATACAGGGAATCTATACAGCAGATACAAAATTGATAATGTACAATAAAGTCATTACAATAGTTCTTAAGATCTTTGTAGACATAACGGTCACCTAACGAAGGTGGTGTTCTGTGGAAACAAATGTTGAGTGCTATGTATGTCACAGGGTTTGAAAGCTACTTTAAAAAATGATACAACTTAACCAAATGGTCTTCTGTCTGCGTGCCCAGAGTTAAACAAATCATGGGTTAGTGGTAAAATTCTGGACAACTGCATTTGGAGTTCAGTACAGTTTGGCAGAACTGGAATGTCAGACTTACACAGTGGACAGTATTACAGTCTTTGTTGAATATTGCACAGTGCACAGTGACATGCCTTGTCATTGATTTTTCCCAACAGTTTCTCACCATTTACGCATTGCACATTTACTTCTAAAGAAAATCAGTGGTTGAAGTCATCTCACATTTTTTTGAATAGTCTGATGTGCGGTTCGGGCTGACACACATTTGCACATAACTTTCGGGTTCATGGCCTGAGATTGTATTTTTGGCATCATATATTTTGCATGCAATTTGCAACTGGTTTTCATAATGAGACAAGCATTAATCTTCTAGTTGTAAGCTGTATTTCCATACAGATGGAGACAACCATAAGCATTACATCATCCAGGTGCTTGAAGTGGGACCTCAGTTTAAAATTTCAGAATGCAGCCTTTGTGCTGCTACTGTGTGTAACACCAGATTTAATTTTATTTAAACTATTATACAAGAAGTCGATAAAACCTAAAAGAGGCGCCATAAGCAGCTGTGGCATTCAAACCCTAATACTTTATTCCTTACACTAAATACAGAATACACATAACATTTAAATTAACTAGACAAATATTCCATGTAAACAAACCACATGCAGCATTGTTTTCTGCTAAATAAAGTCTTACATTACTGAAAGCTTATCAAAAACATACAAAATAGATAACCATTTATTCAAGCATCCTGAAAAATCCACATTCTACAGACTTGGTTCATAATTACAGTAGCAAGTATAAAGTGCCAACAGCAAAATACCCATTTATCAAACTTCAGTTTCTTAAAAAGGTGAAATAAAGTTCTCTTCTTGACTTAAAATGCATGGAATAAGACATGTCTCCAATTCTTTCTGCTTCTGGAGGAGGCCCTGAAAACAAATGAGAGACCTTTTTAGAAAATAGTAATTTACCTACATGTAGAGGCAGATAAAAATGGCAGTGTTGCACCTGTTTTCAACACTCAAATACATCTGAGACAGAAACTATATTTTCATGATGGCAGTGGCAATATCTACTTGTTCAATTCCAGCACTGATTATGTTCTCTGCCAATATCACCAGATCCTAATGCCTATACTCTTATCATATTGTTTTCTCACCTTGTGCCCTTCCCTTTGACTTTTCTGTTTACTTCAGATTTTGGATAGTATTAGAAATAAGGATTAAAAACATCCAGTCTCTAAAATCTTGCCCCAAGATACTGAGAAACCATAAAGAAGAAACCAAACTTGTCCATTCACATTTAATATACTAAATCAACACAATCTGTCAAAGCCAGTGTAGTCATCCCTCCAACTGATGAGTAAGTTCAGTAGGAAACTTTGCTTTCATACCTACTTCTGTGGTTTTGACTGCGTTCTTGACAGAGACGTGACCACAGCAAGGTTGCTATCTAAATACTCTCAAAAGATGACTGAGTGCAATATACTGGGAATTGCGAACTTTTGATCAGGTGCGTACCTTCCAAACAGTTTACTATCAGAAGAAGAAATATGAATAAAAGGATGGGAGATCTTCCCTTCCAGGTCATTTCCTTGATTGCAACAGAAGTCTTAGTTTTGCTCACTGCACAATATTGAGATTCCTCCTTGGCTACTATATAACATCTCTAGCTACATCTCGGTATCTGATATTAAGAGATACATTGAGCTGGATCCATCTGTCAGTGCAAAAAATGAGCTACATGATGATGTACAAAGTTCAGCAATTCCACTGATGTAAAAACTTGCTGAAGTGGGTGGATACTCTTCTCAAGCAATGCTTTCCTACAGTTCCACAGTTAAGTGAAACACACTTTCTATACACAACTTTGAATCACACTCATTTGCCTTTTCTCAAGTTTTCCTAGCTGCCTGTAGTCATGCTGTTTTTCTCATTTGCTATCCAACAATCCCAAGTAAGGGATATTGAGGGAGAGTAGCTCTCCTAATTCCATTTCAAGTCCAATTACAGTTCCCCAGGTGAGATCACAGGTGAGTTGTACAAGCTAGTTCTCACATGTTACCCACATCCTCAAAGCCAGCAACATCCAGTGTTGGACTTCCAATAGCAGAAAAATGATGTTCAGCAGAAGGGGACGGGGGACAATTTCCTCTTCTTGATCTCTGTGAATCACACTTGTTGGGTTCTCCCTACACCTGCACAGAACCCCTCAGAACTTTCCAGAGCCTAAAGGAGAATGTCAGACCTGTCCCTTGTTCAGGCCCAAAGTGGCCTCCAGCAGAAATACATGGAGCCAGTTTTCTGAAGCTACGAGGAAGCTAAATACAAGACTGTTCCAGTACTACAAAAGGAGGCTAATAGAATATGCAGAATACCATCAGTGAATAGCAGTTATAAATTAGATCAGTTGTAACCTTTTTAACAAAAGTACAAAGGTACAACCATATGGGAAAGAGTTACTTGGTCTACATATTCTACAATCCTTTACGATACAATCAGAGAGATCATACTTTCAACAAGTATGTTCTGCTTCTTTGCTTGTAGGACAGTAGCAGTGCAATGCTATATGTATCCTTAGTTTAAGGCTTCACTCCTTGCAAATAAACTTATTTTTGTTATAGGGAAAAACTCAAGTTCTTGTAACAATCCATATAGATTTAACCACTGTTTTCTACACATTCATATAACCGCAACCACAGTTACTGCACTGACATACTAATATGAAACATCTGACCAAATCAAGCATAGCATACAGTGGTGCCTCGCTTGACAAGGAAAATCGCTGTTAAATGAAATAGTCGTCAAGCGGGGAAAAACCTATTGGAATGCATTGAAAACTGGTCAATGCGTTCCAATGGGGAAATACCTCATCATCCAGCGAAGATCACCTATAGAGAACCGTCGATCAGCTGTTCAAAATCTTTATCTTCTGAAGTAGGGGTCCAGAAAACAGGCATTTTGCGAAGGGAAGGAAGCCATTTTGCAGAGCCAGAAAAATCGTCATTTAGCAAACAAACGGTTCGCGAACCAGCTTCCTAATCTACGTCAAGTAAAAAAACCAATTGGAACCATTGTTTTGTGATTGCTATAGTGATCGCAAAAAACTCATCGTAAAGCGATTTCGCCGTCCAATGGGGTCGTCATCAAGCAGGGCACCATTGTAATTGGAAGATCTACCATACAAAATTAAGTCCAGAAACTAGCAGCTTCCAAAGAACAAAAAATTATATCAAAGATCAAGGGTTCTGGAATAGCCTTGCCCTGTTCTGTGTTGGACAACTACCTCGGGTAGTGGTATTGAGGGGAAAATGCTGATGAAGTATTAGCCAATACACTTTTATGCACTGTGTCACCTTCTCTGTGTACCCTGAGTCTGCTGTCCGCAGACTAAGTGGAAGGCAATATCAAAGAAGGCTTTTAACTGCTAGCCCGATGAGCTTCTGTACATAGAATGAGAAAGTCATCATCTTGGCCTTCGTTCTCAGGCAACAAAATGTCTCAGATCAGGCCTACTAATGCATGCTCTGTGAACACAAACTGTCCACCTCATCCTAATAATATATTCTTAACATATTCCAGTCAGGCTTTATGCAGGACTGTGCTTAACAGAAGTTAAGGTTTTCATGATACAAAGTTTTTTGCAAGGCTTCAGTGCTTGGTTGGCTAATTTACGTGGTGTCTGATACAATCACTGAATCAAGATGTCCTGCTGATTCTGCCTGATTATGAGACCTCTACAAGACAAACCTGAACCACCAAGATGAAGAACAAGGCAACAATGACATACACGGGTACTTTTGAAACAAGTATAGATAATCTTTTCTATACTGTTTCCATGCAGATTCAGTAGGTGTTTAACACAGAGTTTCCTTATCTATTCAAATACTCCTTTACAATGAAAATAACAATAACCATGGGCCGTCAACTCAGGTCAGACTTATGGTGATCCTTTTCAGGGTTTTCCAGGTACAAAGAACTCAGAAGTGAATTACCATTCACTCCTTCTGGGAACATCCTGGAACTCTGCAGCTTGGCCACACAGGATGGCTGTTCTGGGATGCACAGTGGGGAATTGAACTCCCACCCTTTGACTCTGTAGCCAGATACCTATCTCACTGGGCGATCTAGCTAAGGATATAGACGACAATTGAGTTACATGCTGTGAAGTCACCTACAACTTATGGCGATCCTACAAATGACTGATCTCCAAAATGTCCTGTCCTCAACATCCCTGCTCAACTCTTGCAAACCCAATACCATGGCTTCCTTTATGGAGTCAATCGATCTTGTATTTGATCTTCCTCTTTTCCTGCTGCCTTGAACCTTTCTCAGTATTATTGTGTTCCAGAGAATTCTACCTTCTCATCATGTGCCCAAAGTAGGACAGCCTCGGTTTTGTCGTTTTTCACTGCAGAGATAGGTAAAGGCAAAGGTTGCCCTTGACATTTAGTCCAGTTGTGTCCGACTCTAGGGGGCGCTGCTCATCCCCATCTCCAAGCCATAGAGCAAGCGTTTTGTCCGAAGACGGTTTCTGTGGTCACATGGCCAGCACGACAAGACACGGAACACCATTATTTTCCCACCGAGGTGGTACCTATTCATCTACTCACATTGACATGCTTTCGAACTGCTGTGGGCAGGAGCTGGGACAAGTGATGGTAGCTCACTCCGTCGTGTGGACTCGATCTTACGACTGCTTGGTCTTCTGACCTTGCAAGCACAGAGGCTTCTGCGGTTTAATCTTTCTGGCAGTGCAGGGTGTCTGCAAAGCTCTCTTCCAGCCCATTTCAAACAAATCAATTTCTTTTCCTGTAAACTTTCTTTACTGTCCAGCTTTAATACTTGTCTTGTGACTGGGAATACAATAGGGTGGATGATCTTGGTCTCCAGTGACACATCCTTACACTTGATTATCTTTTCTAGTACCTTCATTGCTGCCCTTTTGAGTCTTAATGTTCTCCTGATTATTGGCTGAAGTCTTCATTTGGATTGATGATAAAATAAAGGTATACAAAATCTCTAACCATTTCAGTTTATTTATTGTCAGCATTAAAGTGGCGTAGTTCTGTAGTCATGATTTTTGTTGTCTTAATGTTCAGCTGCCGTCCTGCTTTGGCACTTTCTTCTTCCTCTGAAAACAGCATTTCAAGTCATTGCTGCTTTCTGCCAGTAAGATGATGAAATGTGAATATCTTAAATTATTGTTTCCACCAGTTTTCTCTCCTCCTTCATCTGAATTTAGTGTGGCTTTCTGTATATGTTCTGCATATAGATTGAACAGGTAAGGGGATAAAATGCACCCTGGTCTGACACTGCCGTTTACAGGAAACCATTCTGTCTCTCCATATTCTGCCCTAATGGCAGCTTCTTCTCAACAATACAGGTTACACATCAGAACAATCAAGTGTTGAGGCATACCCGTTTCTTTCAGAACCGCCCATAGTTTCCAATGATCCACACAGTCAAAGGCTTTGCTGTAATCTACAAAGTATAGTATATTCTTCTGAAATTCTTTGTTGTCATCCAGTTGCCAGCAAATATTTGCAGTATCATCTCAAGTGCCTTTTGTTGTCATCCAGTTGCCAGCAAATATTTACAGTATCATCTCAAGTGCCTCGTCCTTTTCAGAATCCGGGTTGAACATAAGGCATTTCTCACTCCATGTAAAGGAAACACTTTTGCTGCAACATCTTGAGCATCACCTTGCTTGCATGGGAAATTAGAGCACTGGTCCTATAGTTACTGCACTCCTTGGCATCTCCTTTCTTGGGGATTGGAATGTACATTGAATGTTTCCGTCTGTGGGCCATTGTTTTACTTTCCATATTTGTTAGGTTAGGTTTGACAAATTCAGGCTCTGTGGATTGAAATAGTTCTATTGGTATTCCGTCCACCTCTGGTGATTTATTTCCTTCCAGGGCTTTCAA